CTAGGGACAATGATAGTACCTGGACCGGGATTCTCCAATTTAAGGAACTTAATTTGGTGGCAAGTTTCTTGTTCCGCCCACAAATTACAAGAATCTGACCTACTGGCTCCGCAAGATTCTCATCATACAAAGCATCGCCTAATGCTCGTGCAGTGGCCTCAATTGGACCCATCCCTTCTCCTCCGCCCATTAACAATACAGCTGGAAGATTCTCATCCATCCCTAGTTCCCTTCGTAGTTCAACCTGCAATTATTGGAAAAAGATACCATATTCAAAGTTTGAAACACCAATAAGTCAAATACAGGAACCGAGAAACAAAAGTCAACCTTTGGGCGCACGGCTTTTACAAAGGAAGGTCGAACAGGAAGGCCATAAACTCTGATTTGTGAATTTTGAAGACCGGCTTTAAGTGCCCTTTTCGCAAGTTCTGTGGATGGGCAATAACATCTTGTCACAAGCTTATGAAACCTAATTCAAAGACAAGAAGATAGAAGCATCAGAACTCTTTTAAACCGCCATGGAACCTTTTTTTGCTTTACTGATCTGAGGATTGATACCAATGATAACCATCAATGCTGCGATATGACTAACCACGTGGGATGGCAAGTGCTCAAGTCTGTAACAACTGTAGTGAAGACAATTTTCTTAAGTAAGCCCTTTGATTTTAGAACGCGAAGTGGTACATGTTGCATCAATGGATGAACACTGATAATAATGTCCGGCTGGTATTTCATCAATCCTTTCTCAATTTCCCTGTAAGTAAAAACAGCGTAATCAGATTGCATACGAAAAGAGATGAGAGAAATCAAAAAGAAGGAGCAAAATCCATCACAAGCTAGAGGCTATATAAGCAAGACCAATAAAATAACATAAATCTAAATCTCCTCTTTCTCAGTCTCTTAGGTACCTTCACACTTGAGTAGATATTGCAGCAATATGTAAATGAAGTTTGATCAACCAACCAACCAACCAAAAGACTTTAGTTAACATGTCACCTGGCAATAAACGTCGAAGTTGCAGCTAAATTAGATTGGTGAATAAGACGTGGAGCCGTGCCATAATAAGTCATTTTCCACAGGGTTCCATGTTTGACCAGAAAGTTATAGCTCCTCGGCAACTGGTTGAATGGCCAAGGCGTGTGATCTGTCCATAAATCTGTAATAGATACCTGAGACAAGCACTCTTAATGTACACAACACATTCAAGAAATCTTCCATTCATCAAGCTATGTAAAAATGCCATAAGAGTCTGTAGTTTTCCCAGGAATCTAGTCTACAAAAATCAGAAGAATCACATCGTCTCTCATCAAACAAAGAATCCATGAAAACCAACCTGGTATTCATCCCCAAATTCCGAGTTGAATGCAGCTCTTATGGCTTCTGCTGAAGCTCTGTGACCACCACCAGTATCACTCATCAAAATCAATACTTTCTTGGGACGATCCGATTCAAACCCATTTAAAAGCAAGCCTTCATCATTAAAAACCCCACCGGAGCCGTCTCCCCTGAATCCGTTTTCGTCGCTCGAAGAACCGATTCCGACGGAGGCGAAGCTGTACGGAACAACCCGATCGGAGTGAAACCTAATAAAGCTGTTGAAATCAGTGATAAATCTACGTAGATTCGCTCCGGGATCGCTTTTAGTGTTTAAGCTCATGGAGGTTTGGGCGGGTAAGCCATTGAAACGCAAGGAATCAGAGGTGGATTGAAAAAAACCATCCGAATTCGATCCGTGGCTAAACGCTAATCTGCTGAAGCGGGTGACGAAATCGAAGAGCGGTGCAGATTCCTGGGTTGTTACCGTTGAAGGGTTTTGCATACTTTATGATGAAGAAGAAGAAGAGCCGATTGATTCCATTTAAGGCTCACGGTAATTCGCCATGAATGCTCAACACAGAGCAGAGAGAAACAGAGTGTGTGTAAAATTATGAAAATTTAATCCCAAATTGGGTTTAAAACCTGATTAAGGAAATGGATATGTATCATATGTTATTTTAATCACAGTACAGTGGTATTGGAATAATTAGGTCGTTGATGTGGATTTTGTTATCGATACAAATAACTAAAATCCAGAAAATTCATAATGCAGAGAGTGCTACTGGTCCGACAAAAACAAAACAAAGAAAAGCAACTACCGGTTAGTTGGCGGGCCATGCATTTCACATGTTTTTTTTCTTTTTTTTTACCGATAACCTAAACCAGCCTTGAGAAATCCATAGAAAGTAGCCGACAGGATAGTGCGGTCCAGATTTCTGTCGAGTACCAACACGAGAAGAATAAGTGTGATCTCGATTCTTTAGTGGTGTTACAAAGGACGCATTCTGAATTATAGCTTGTATTCCATCTTTTACTTATTTCCGGTGGACAATCTATTACCAGCCACGTGAAGAAGAAGTATTTAGGAGTACCGTATGAAAACCATACTCCTTTGTACCATTCTTGCTTTCTCAAAGTAGATTTCATGTCCCCGTTGTTGTAAATTTGCTCTGACATTTGTCCTCTGTTATCCTCCATACCGTTTTATCTTTCAAGTGTTGCGTTCTCCGACGTTTTAATGAAGAAGCTTTACCCAAATATAATATTTATGTATATCAATTTCTCTGGTAAAGCTCTTTAAAACATACTAACAAGATGTGGCAGATTCATACAGATGCTTCGGCGACTCAACAATTTGGTGTTTTGTCGCTTATGCATTTATAGCCGATTTCTTGATTGTATATTTAGCACTAGTTGCTGATTCAATCTCGGTTTTTAGACCAATAAGAGCATGTTTATTGGTAAACCTC